GGACGATCACCGTTGTGCTAAGATCGCTTTGTGCAAGTGGACCCAGGACCTATGATGAAGAAGAAAATATTTGTATTTGTGTGTCACATGTTATAAATATAACATACATAGACACTATAAAACAATCAATAAAATATAACATCCGGCCATATGGCCTACCAGACGCAAAAGACTACATTATACATAAAACAGTCAGTAGTGAATAAAATATCACAGCTTTGTAAGCAACAGTGAAGTGTGGTATATTTAATTACAGGACTACAAAGTGTGTTTACGTCTATTAAACATTTTAGTAACCAATGCAGCTAAGGGTTTTATTAATTTAACATTACCTAGCATAAATGCGGCCTGGTCAGTAGGCGACAAGAGAGAAAAACATGGGTTAATATTAAATGCATAAATTTTATTATGACTGTCTAAGAGTATGGCGTTCAATTTCCGGTTGAGGCTTTGTTGATTGTATGCCTGAGATAACATATAAGCTTTGTGACTTATATATATGAAAATATGCGTGATTGATATGACTGACAATATGTGTGACCGACAAACTACATGAACACAACTGACAGTCATTTTCTATGTACTATTTTATGAAATGTGATTGTGTGACAATATCTAGACAAGATTTTTATTAGGTCAAAGACCAATACAGTTTAGATCAACTGATTATTTACCGATGCACATGGCGAGGTACGCATATACACAATCATATTATTATTATTGTTGCCCAAGAGTGAGGATATGTGTAAACGATTCACAAAAATTCAACTTTGTTTCTTTCATTTCAGATGTGATAAATACACTTCGCAGCTTTAAATACTTCAAAACTGTTTTCACATTTTCACAATTTGATAAACTTAAACATACTTATATTTTCCAATAAAATATTACTTAAATGTTGTTTACATATTTCTCGATATTTTGTACGTGGTACTCATCTTCTATTTCGTTAGTACAAAAGGGACATAATCTATCAGCAAGTGGGCTTTTAGGCACACTCCATCTTCGTTTTGCAATCATAAGCATATGTGAACTGAAACGGAAACGTGTAAATGCAATTCTGTACTCAATATTAGTTAAGCATTTCTCGATACACAGAGTTTCCTTAATATGGGGATACACTCAGAGTTTATAATTGATGTTTTCACATTTGAGAATAAATATGCTTAGCTCTTTGTGTAAATTCTCACACAAAATTGCTACTTTCACCATCATACTAGGCAACCCAAATATAACCAAAACCGAACCTGAAAAGCGTATCTCAATAAACTTGCCCAATTTTCAAAATCAGGGTTTTCATTTGAACTATTCAATTATGAATTGTATATCAAAACAATATATCTACCTGGTTTACTTCTCAATATCTTAAGCCGATATTTGATAATCCTGACAAGACGAATAACTTTCAAAGGAAATGTACCCAATTCTCCATGTAAGAAAGCTGAGTGAGTTGACATTTTGACATATAGTGTATGTTTCATAAATTTCAAGTGTACCCTTTCAATAGCATTAGCTTCGATAAAGCCCCAAACTTCACAACCATGTGAGAGAATAGGAGAAACAACTGATTTTTATAGCTGATACTGAATATCTGGAGTAATGTATTCATTACCATTGAATATATTGTACAATGAACCAAATGCCTTCAAATCTTGTTCTGATAAGATTTTCTGAGCTCGTGAAAACTGCCACTTGTTGAAAATACTAAACCAAGATACAGTATTTAAAACTATTGACTATCTCAAGAGGTGAACCATTATAGGACCACTTTTCAGCCTTGCCTTGTCTACCTCCTTTACGAAAAATAACAACCTTTGTTTCATCAGTATTTATGGTCAAGCCCCATTTCGTGCAGTAGGTAAACATCATATCCAAACCGTCTTATAAACCTTTAATACTATTGCTGAAGAGCACCATATCATCCGCAAATAACAACAGAAGTAAACGCACATGAGAAATAACAACTCCCAAGTCATCTATAGAAGAATGTTCTTCTACGATATCATCAATAAATACTAGAAATGAAAACAAAATTGCCGACAGATTTTCTCCTTGCCTGACACCAATGGACGACATGAAAAAGTTTTCATGAATATTACTGGGCAGCCTCACACAAGACTTAATTCTTAAAATGATCATCAAAATTACAATTGCCAATACTACTTGACTTTTTGTTATGACCTTTAACTTTCTTCCAAACTGTTTAATATTTGTTCTACTCAGAAGTGACATAGAGATTACTCAACGAGTGTCTGTCAGATATCATTACAAGATATCTTACAACGAGGTTTTTAAAACGTATTTAACGAGCGAAAGCGAGTTGTTTCAAAACGTATTTAACGAGCGAAAGCGAGTTAAATACGTTTTGAAACAACGAGTTGTAAGATAAATGATATCTGACAGACACGAGTACAGTAATCTGTTTCTTACACACCATAAAATCGCACCATTGTATGGTCGAATAGATTGAAATTTCATATTTTCTCATCGTAGCTGCGCAATAATACACAACACAACGTTTATGAATGAGTGACGTCACTTGGCTTCCTAATCACTACTCATCCCCAAGGTAACCCTCCATAATAAAGTTTCTGCGACATCTTCGCGTCATGAAGGCAATAGTGATAATGCAAAGTAGATAAGATCACAGAAAATTATTTAAACACTCTAAAGCGATGATGTTACCATGTAAATGTGGACAATTTTAATTCTTGCAAGCCAAAAATATCTGAGCGTCTTACGTCATCGTCATCGTTTGGTGGTTGTCGTCATCGGAAGATTGTTCAGTGGATATTTCTGCATATTGCCATTGAGGATCTGTACTTGTGTACCAGTTTACGTTCAATGTTCTCCCATCGACCGGAGCCAAAACTATTGAGTGTGTGTCATTAGGTGTAACCCCTGTGCTTGCATATGACATTGCTGAGGTTACGTTCACTATCAATGGGGACTACTCTTCTTCGCCATAGCCTTCTCGTTTTCCCGAGCCAGAAACTGCCACTTGGAATGTAACGGAATTTACGGAGTTGTCAGTATGAAATGTGAGTTGATTACATCCTGTATGTTATGAAGACATGAACTTTGCATTATCATGCGTCGAATGAATATCTTAAGCAATGACTTATGTGTAGATAAACCGTTCCTGTACATGTTCGATTGAATAGAAAGGACGTGTGCCGCCATTTGCACTCATGAACCCTTGCAAACGTTCCATGTTGTACATTGTCTCAACGAGTGTGTTTTGGTTCTGATTGTCATGAGTGAATTTGATAACATTGGAATCACATAGTAGCTCGGAGCTGGAAGTGGGTCTTCATCATGTTTATCAATGAAAAATGTCATCTTCATCAATTCATCAAAGAAACGACGAGGCAAATCGATCTCACAATGGACAGGCACTGACGTTATCGTGTCAGGTACTTTTGCAAGACGACACATGACACTTGTCGCATCTCTCCAGTAAAGTACCAATGTTGTACATTTTGAATATTCGAAGGGAATCCAAGGCTTTATCTCAATCGGTGATTTTCACATAATTGTTTACACAGGTATCACTGATTGTTCAAGCCATTTTGAATTCATGACTAGAAATCAAAAGTTTTAATAAAAGGAATTGGAAAATAAATAGATTCGTGTTATATTTATTTTACTTGTGACTCATTGTATAAATACCTGTTTATGTTGCAATCGCGAAAATAACAGGTAGGTGTACAGGGTCATTTTTTGCACGAGTAACAGGTTTCTGTTCGATTGAAGCACGAGTAACGTATCAATGAATTTTAATCAGGAATGTAGTCCGTCATAACCTGACCCTAGGTCATCACCATGGAGTAGCCAATCACGGGATTAGAAATCGATCTCACACATATGTGTGATACCAGTTTTCTCACATGGGTTTCTCACCCACGGGTGTGTAAAAAAAATCAGCTGCCGCCTTCTTCTTATAAGTAACAAAATGAATATCATTGTACACTAATCCAATCTAATTGTCTTCGTAATTACAGTGTTTTCTTAGTACATTCTCCCACCTTGCGTTGTGCAAACATGTTTTATCTATATATATTCATGTTGTGCACTGACTCAGCATTCACCTGATGAAGTGGCAAGGCTTAGTTCTGAAACGCCGTATGCAAAAAAAGTTGTTATCCATAAAAACGTGTCATGTATTCATGTGTCATGTAATGTCAGTTAACCGAAATATATTTACCTTTGTTATAAATGTGGCTACAGACATTGGTCATCCTGTCTCAAGCTTGTGCTTATGTAACTTTAAAGGGTGCTATAATACCGGAAGGGTATGTTGGTTTAGTTAGAGGCGTATATGGAGGAGTACTGAACTGGATTATACTACATTAGGGATCAGAGATCAACACAAGAAGGTACAGTTGACTCGGTAAATGAATCCATGAATTGTTTCTAGTGGCACATTGTTCCGACATCCAGGAAAGGGTTGCAGTGCAGTGTTCATTCAAGCATTTCTAAAAAGTGAGCCCATGGTCCACCAGCCCTCAGTTTTGTGGGTCATTTAGAAATATTGTGGGTCATGTCAAATTGTTGTGACTTTTTAGCTATACACATCTACGTACCAGTATGAGTTCACTTCCTTTTTTAACCTCTCAGTCCAGAATCCAAAGACGTACTTGAGTTTTGCTTGAGTTGCCAAGCGAAAACAAACTCGTGATGATATACAGATTTACATTAATGTATGCGCCGACACGACCCACCCGTACCTGCACAGTGCGCCATGTTAAATATTAGTGAGCGAATGGCGCAAGGGCGTGGAATAGAATGAACACTGAAGTTGGGATTTGTCTGCTTCTAATTGTTACAATTCAATGCAAGCTAGTCAAGATTATTTGGATGTGTAGATAGTGTTGGTCAAGGTTACCTGTTAAGAGGTATCATGGTCAAAGTCCTCCATTGTGTGAGGGGTAAATTGGGATACAGCTATAAACCCCTGTAAAGTATTCCTTCTGTCATGCTATATTTGTCTCCCTCAGGGCATCAACTACTCCATCCTGGGGCCCACGCTACTGGATCTGCAGCTGATCCTGAAACAGGACCTGGAAACCCTCTCAACCATACCACTCAGCAGCGGGATTGGGGAGACATCGGGGATGTTCCTCGCCTTGGCACTCTCTAAATATGGTCACAAACGTCTTCAGATGGGCATTGCTCTATTGCTATCGTCGGTGGTGTTTACCCTTATACCAGTTGTACCAAGTTTAATCTACGTAGATATGATGTTTGCATTGGTGGGATTCATTTCCGCAATACCTTCCTGTTGTAAGTACTAATATTATTAACTACATATTTGCGCCTCTTATATGACTATATAATAAATTATATCATGCATCAGTGACTCCGTGTCAGATGTCGTTTCGTGGAGCTGTGTGTCTTTGTTACGCCAGGAGTTCGAGCATGTCACACGATGAGCTGGGCCCCGTCTCGCATACCTCAATATACGCAGGGTGGCGCGCGTAAAGGGGGCCGGGAACCAGCTTAGTCACACGGGCTATACCTCCTCCACCCAATGTTTCTTATCCCAGTTCCGAGAACAATGTGCTCTGCGACAGCTTTTGACAAGTTAAGATGGAACCAAATCTAATTGGATTCCTCTTTATTCACTATTGCAAAATGGTTTTATATTGAAAATAGCACAGTAGCTGTTTCTTGACCCCTTGAAAACAGAATCTTGTGATCGGGTATGTTTCTTGTTTTGTCAGCACCACGGCTGTGTTCGTTTTCCCCCATAATAAGCAGACCCACAGTGATAATATTATCCAAAACGTCGTTAAAAGCAACACGCAAAGTCACTGGCTCACTAATGCACTAAGCTGACACACTTTTGCATAAATGAATAATTATTTATTGTGAGTTAAAACACACACACTCTCCGGGCATTGAATACATTTTACATATCATTAGTAGGCAAATGAGTATGCATATACTATTAAGACAAATAGATAGAATTTGTTTGTCATGGTTGATGATGCAGACGGGTACAGTGTACGACGGTTTATGTAAATATTCTTAGTCCCACATATTAATATTGACAACATAACAGTGCCGCTTCAAGGTTACTGGTTTTTACGTAAATACATTAAATTTTCACACGTGTAGAATAACAAAACAATACCTAATTCATTGATTTTTTAGCTTCTGTGCTAAACGAACAGTTGGAAAATGCCATCGATTCCTGATGTCGACCAGCATATGTTGCTGGGAACCCATTCTAACCCGGAATTTCCACACCAGTTGGAATTATTAATTTGCAAGTGCCGATGACAATAAAAGTCTATTCCAACCATTAGTCTATTTCCTACTGATAGTTCCCGAGTCAGTGATAAAGGTGTAGACCATTTGCAGTTGCCGTCACCATGCATGAACCAGCAGATCATGTTACAGAGCTGCCATACATGCCTGCATCCGAAGATTCAGAACTCGGTCTAACCATACGATCACCAGTAATGAAGCAGCACACATGCTTTAGACTTACACGTATTTGTGATGATATGTTGTTTTTGCTAAAAAATTAATGATACATGATGAAATCATCTGTGTGTTTAATTGTGATGGGGAATTTCAGACGTTTTGATGTGATTAACAGAATGAATTTAAAACATGAAACATACAAAGAATTTAAAACGTCAAGAGGTCAACGCTTTAATCAGTCAATATGTGATTGTAACGTATCTGAGTCCGTTCATTTGCAAAATACAATAAAACATAAATGCTGAGTTTTCAATTACCTTTACTTGATTACATGTCACATGTGATAGGCGAGACATGTTTCCTCTTCAATGAGTAATAATATCAACAAAAACAAGCATTTGAAAGGATATATTTGTCATTTTAAACCTAGAATGATCTGTAAAATTGACATTTTATCAAGCATGCAGGAAGCATACCTAGAACTGCGTTAGTCAGTCTCCACTTCTCTACTCTTAAAATGAATAGTCCAGTATGGCCAATCCTTGAACTTACACATGAGAGGAAATTACGATTCCTTATGACGGTGTTATCAAAGCACAACACACAAAACTACACCACACCCCAAACAGACAGAAAAACTTAGCAGATCGGGGTAGCATAGTATGCAGGTATGAATGAGCTTGTCATTTTTAGTGATATTTGCCTTGTTAATGATATATTCAATAAAACTATTATTTTCCACAGTTCTGATAGATGTGTGCAGTGAGTTGTGGAAGGACAAGGGCACAGCGTTCCAGTTCATCCTAGTCGGCAGTTCCCTGGGCGCCATCGTCACTCCTCTGATAGTGGAACCTTTCTTATGTCATGGAGATTCATCAGAAGGAGCAAACGTGACCGGAAAAAGATTTTCACCCGCTCTACACGATTTCACGCTCACGGGTGTAGCTTCTCTTCAGGGTTCATGCTCAATGGAAGATCTGGCTCTGGTTGAGAAGGTGTGTGTGAACGTCACTCGACATTTTGAAGCCGAAGGTCACCAACAAACACAAGGACATTATGTTGTTGACCATGAAAGGGTAGATCATACATGCCCATGCATCGCCCTGATATCAGCGACCAATAGTTCAAATGACAACTGCAAATCGAACCTGACACATGAAGCTGATGACAGAGATTATTGCAAATGGCAAACGGCTTGTGACTTGCTCCTCGAGCATCAACTCTACAACACTACAGAAGAAGATGTGCAGTATATTAAATCGGTGTGTTGCCCGTTACTAAGTGCGTTAGATGAATGTCGAAGCAATTACGGAGTTGTGGACAATGGAACAGAGTCCTGTACAGAAAGTGACACCAATGTACGTACTGCTTATGTTGTCATGGGGCTTGTTTTGTTGCCAAGTTCATTCGCCTTCTTCTACTTTTGGTGGAGGAGGGACTCAAGTTGGGCCTCTGCACCTATAACAGAGAGCCAGAGGCAGGGATATCAACAAATGGAGGCACCCCCCAGAGGAAACTTTCAGCTTGTGATATTTTACACCGTATTGTGTCTATCTTATCTCCCCTAACTGCACTGACAATAGTATTTGGAACTTACCTGACAGCTTTCGGTGTTGAGGGTAGCTTGCACCTCCCGAAGTCTACAATGGTGTACATGACATCTGTGTTCTGGATCTCCACTCTACTCGGACGAATCATCAGCACAGCATTGACACCACTGTTGGGACATGCTAAAATCATCATCGGTAATTTTGTAGGTATAGTGGTGTCGTCAGTTCTACTCATATCCCTGGCGCCATATTATGAGTCCATGTTGTGGATGAGCACTGTTCTGCTGGGAGTGTTTTCCTGCCCCTACGAGGGTGCAGGGTTAGCGTGGGCTGCTGACTATGTCGGAATGTCGCCACAACTAGTTGCTCTGTCGTGGATTTCAGTGTCTTCAGGGAACCTAGCCTTTCCGTTTTTAGGAGGATTAATGTTTACACATATTGGGCCCACCGCGTTTATGTATTTACTCGGTGGTTTAAGTTTATTCATGGTGTTAATGTTCCTTCTGTTAAACATCCAGGTGCGGTGTAAAAGTTTCAAAACGTAAATCACAATTTCCTTCATATTCCACCTCAGTGTGTTTGTTTGAGGCCGCCGAAATGTGTCAACAATGACGACTGCCTTTAAATAACCGAACCAGTGCAATATTCTCGATTAAAAAATTCTGACCACTCGATTCATTACATCGTTTTGGAGACAAAAACAGGTTTCTGGTGACCTAGTGAACCCGGAATTCAACCTATGATTGGCGCGCGAAGAATTAGTTGATTGGTCGCAAATTAGTTGATTGGTCGTGAACTAGTTGATTGGTCGTGAACTAGTTGGCTGGTCGTGAACTAGTTGGCTGGTCGTGAACTTGTTGGCTGGTCGTGAACTAGTTGGCTGGTCGTGAACTTGTTGGTTGGTCGTGAACTAGTTGGCTGGTCGTGAACGTGTTGGCTGGTCGTGAACTTGTTGATTGGTCGTGAACTAGTTGGCTGGTCGTGAACTAGTTGGCTGGTCGTGAACTTGTTGATTGGTCGTGAACTAGTTGATTGGTCGTGTACGTAGTTGGCTGGTCGTGAACTAGTTGACTTGTTGATTGGTCGTGAACTAGTTGATTGGTCGTGAACTGAACTAGTTGGTTCGTCGTGAACTAGTTGGCTGGTCGTGAACTAGTTGATTGGTCGTGAACTAGTTGGCTGGTCGTGAAGTTGGCTGGTCGTTAGTTGGCTGGTTGAATTACTTGTTGGTTGGTCGTCGTGAACTAGTTGGATTGGTCGTGAACTAGTTGATTGGTCGTGAACTGGTTGTCGTGAACTAGTTGGTCGTGAACTAGTTGGCTAGTTGGTCGTGAACTAGTTGGGCTCGTCGTGAACTAGTTGGCTGGTCGTAAACTAGTTGATTGGTCGTGAAACTGGTCGTGAACTCGTTGTTGGCCGGTCGTGAACCAGTTGGTTGGTCGTGAACTAGTTGGCTGGTGATTGGTTGGTCGTCGTGAACTAGTTGGCTGGTCGTGAACTAGTTGATTGGTCGTGAACTAGTTGGCTGGTCATGAACTAGTTGGTTGGTCGTGAACTAGTTGGCTGGTCGTGAACTAGTTGGCTGGTCGTGAACTTGTTGATTGGTCGTGAACTAGTTGGCTGGTCGTGAACTAGTTGGTTGGTCGTGAACTAGTTGGCTGGTCGTGAACTAGTTGGCTGGTCGTGAACTAGTTGGCTGGTCGTGAACTTGTTGGCTGGTCGTGAACTTGTTGATTGGTCGTGAACTAGTTGATTGGTCGTGAACTAGTTGGCTGGTGATACAATATAATCAAGTATGTTAACAGTGCCTACCCTGATTTGCTGTTTTCTTAATTTGCGTCTGTTGACATACTGTTTGTCAGGCAACTTGGTATGTACATGTAATACAAAAATATAATCAAGTATGTTAACAGTGCCTACCCTGATTTGCTGTTTTCTTAATTTGCGTCTGTTGACATACTGTTTGTCAGGCAACTTGGTATGTACATGTAATACAATATAATCAAGTATGTTAACAGTGCCTACCCTGATTTGTTTATATGTTTGTCGTGTTTTATATTAAGAAATAAATAGTATTCTACTGAGAGAAAACTTTGTCTGTATCCAAATATTTATTAGGTGAAGTCTTGGGCTTGGATGAATAGTTTTGTGATAGGTCGCAATCCGCTGTATTGAGTTGTTTCCCTTAGGTCAAGGCAGCAAGGAGGATTTGGAGGTTACAAAATCCCAGATCGGCCCTGACAATTTTCCTGTGTTTGTCAGAACCATAACGGCGCTCTTTGGTTACACCCACACGTGTATGATCTGCATCGCCTTTGGGCTCCAGTAACACATGAAGCTTACCCGCAGTCATATCAGGAAATACTGTCCAAATCCGGCTTACGCACTCGATGCGGAATCAATACACGATTCGGCTTCACGAAGATATTGTAAACGCAAGTGCCAGATTTTCCGTCATCCATTAGACATTCTACCAACTCGAATGTACACACTAAATCTTTACCTAACATAGTGTAAATGTTTTGTTTATGTTGATGAAATAATTTAAATGATCACCATATTTTTGCATTGTGTACAATAAACTTTCTCACCTATCAACACGTCATCTGCGTTAAAGTCCACAGCATTAACACAGGCATCTCTTGGCTTTGGTCCCAAACGGGATATAACACATGGTCAGTCAGGTGGCCTTGACATTGTGCAAGTGGTCAGTCGAGTTGTTGACCGTCCCGTGTGTCCAGGAATATTGACCTATCTCACGTCTCGACCCCACAAGAATGTCTGCTGCACATGTACACCCTGCAAGTTAAATGTACAGTCCTTCCAAGACTTATCAAGTTGATGGACGTCATCATAGAAGCCATCACACATACCAACTTACTTATGGATCAGGGGACATCTGTGATTCCACTTCACAAACAGGAATCATGTGCCGACAGGCATACAAATATTTATTGAGATGAAGGGCTTATTTAGAGAAGATTGGTTCCATATTTTTTGCGTCAATGTCCAGGTGGATGACATTGTTCACCCTACAGGAAACATTGTAAACTATGAAACGTCTCAACAATGTGAAACATGTATATCTTTCGTTAGGTTTCTCTTTCCCTTCAGCAGGTGTGTTTTATGTTTTCATGGCATATAACTTATCAGCATGTTATATGTACAAATTCAGTGCGTGTAGGACTGTTAGCAGGGGGTCAATACATAATAGCTATATTTCCGTTTTCTGCATAAACACACATTATGTATTCACGCAAATATTCTATTACTTGCCTGTCTTCAAATCCCAACCTGCCAGGGTTACACCATGGATATTGCAATGTTATTTAATCAAATATGACGGAGAGGTTATCCCCGTTCGACAAATATGCCTTGTTGGCCGTTCAATATAAGCACAGAAGCAGCGCCTAGCGGTCTGCTTGCAAACGGCATGGTTTAAGAGGTGTCGTTTCCATTTCACAATGTGTTGTGTTTTATTCAGAGTAAATACAACCCAGCTTAACGTTCTTCATGTTTCACGATTCTTTGTGTTCAAGGCTCTCACCAACTAATTTTTTTCATGCGATTTTTATTATGTCCGTTTTCTTCGTTTGTTATCGAGCGAAATCGCTTCCAGGTAAACATAGGATTTATGCTAAACGAAGGCGTGTGATCGAAAAACAAAGTTTTTTTAAGACAAAAAGCTCTCGGGAAAATCTACCGCGGTGTAAAGATTAGTAAAAACGCAGCAGGAAACGTTACAAAACCACTGTACTCATAATGGCTTTAAATCTTTTACACGCTTTTTGAAATCGTTGAATGTACATGTGGAGTAGAAATAGTGTTGTGTTGAGGTGAAAAAGTAAGGGAATACGAGTGAAATCTACTGGATTTTCACAACACCACACGTGAAGAGAGGGAGTGCACAGTGACGTTGTACGGGATATACTGCAAAGTACACTCATGTTGCGAGGCATTTCTATACCAAAGATCTTCGAAGCATTTGTATTTATATCCAAAACAAATAACACTTTTTCTGTTTTGTTTCTGAATGCAAAAAATTCCCTCCCCCCCAAAAAAAAAAAAAATAAAAAAATAAAAAAATAATACCCACAATGATTTAAAATATAATGAAATACCCACGATGTGTATGATATGAATCATTATATCAAATAACAGGGTTACCAAGTGTCAGTGAAAGATGATTGTATCCTGCTGCTGGCACCCACCATAATACATGCCAAGCAAAAATGAACTTGTATTTCTATCCAGAACTGAAGATACCGACGAGAGGTTTAGCTGTATTCTTATGATAAGAATGAGCCCTTTTCATTTCAACGCTGATTTGTTTTCGACGTTTTGTACCAACAAAAGACATTACGTGGCCAAATTATAAAAGCTTGAATGATGTTATAGTTAAGTCTTTACTGTAAACCTCTCTCTAATGTTTGAACACGACGATGTGTTGGATAAAGTCTGAATGTATATAAATACAATGATACATACACATTGTGATAATTTCATCTTGGATCACTGGTTTGCTCATTGACAAATTTTGCCATGAACTTTAAATTAATCAACTCCTTTTTAACATAATTGTCCTCAACAGTCTGCACCCAGGAATCTAGCGTTACAGGTTACAGTAATGAAACCAGGTGTTGTAAATGTTTTAGATGACGCAGCATGTCGTCGCTGCTGCCACTTGCCAATGTGTACACAGATAAGGTAGGCAGATTTCTTCAGGTCTTTGCTGGCACCCCTCGTATGCTTACTGTTCCTCCAGAAGAATCTCTATGACGCAGGCTTTAACCTGGCATTGGTAGCTGTGAGCTCAACTCAAACACAAACTCAATACTACATGTACTTAGTCCCTACTGCCGCTAGTTTACATACATTGTTATATCTGTACAAGATAATCAGGTGGAGGAATACACTATATTTAATGATTCCCCATCGTCTCCAGTTTACAAACATTGTTATATCTGTACAAGATAATCAGGTGAGGAATACACTATATTTAATGATTCCCCATCGTCTCCAGTTGACATACATTGTTATATCTGTACAAGATAATCAGGTGAGGAATACACTATATTTAATGATTCCCCATCGTCTCCAGTTTACAAACATTGTTATATCTGTACAAGATAATCAGGTGAGGAATACACTATATTTAATGATTCCCCATCGTCTCCAGTTGACATACATTGTTATATCTGTACAAGATAATCAGGTGAGGAATACACTATATTTAATGATCGTCTCCAGTTGACATCATTGTTATATCCCATCGTCTCCAGTTGACATACATTGTTATATCTGTACAAGATAATCAGGTGAGGAATACACTATATTTAATGATTCCCCATCGTCTCTAGTTGACATACATTGTTATATCTGTACAAGATAATCCGGTTTTGTTTACTTCGACATTATTGCTAAATTTGTGGTCCCTTTGAGTTACCCATAGCTGTAGTGTACTGTACTCTGTGCTTACTGTACTTCTGGTTGGATGTATAACTGGTTCAGATCTCAGTATTATGGCGTGTGTGTGTGTGTGTGTGTGTGTGTGTGTGTGTGTGTGTGTGTGTGTGTGTGTGTGTGTGTGTGTGTCCACACCGTAAGTGTATATCCGTGTTTGTATAGGGTTATACACTCACGGTGTTTAGTTATATCCTTGTTTGTATAGGGTTATACACTCAGTTTAGTTATATCCTTGTTTGTATAGGGTTATACACTCAGTTTAGTTATATACGTGTTTGTATGGGGTTATCTAGGTGTGTCACAGTTCGAAAGGTTTTAATTACGATGTCGTCCAACCATTTACTGATACAAATCGAATACAAATCGCTATTACAATGAAACGATATTGACGAATTATTGGATGCTGA